CCCTAGTCTCCTATTTACCATCAACATCATCACATTTAGGGAAATTTGCATCCAGATCCAAACTTTGCAGTTTAGATCCTCATCTAATTTCAGACACAGCCCATGACCCAAACCGGAGCCATTGCAGGTTGAGAACTATAATCTGGGATCCGATTTAAATTGGCAAAAGTCAATAAATTATGGTATCAGGCCGATTACTAGGCCCTGTCCTACATTCCTATTCATACAAACACTTTTTGAAATCAGTAGGGGTCTCCCTGGTGTCAATGGGAGGTTTTCCTGAGTAAGGACTTGACTTTATTTCAGTGTTCAGGTTGTATGATATCAAGACCACTACAGCAATGCGCTTATGCACCATGGGGTAAAATATGGATGGAATAGCAGCCTTAATACTGAATTTCTTGGCATGTCAGTTCGTTTTATATATCATTAAATTGTTCTGTGAAGGCTTTAGCCACATGAGTCCCATTAGAGTCATTGGGCCATATTCTCAGCTGGTGTAAATCAGTGCTGCACAATTAAAGTAAATAGAACGCTGCTGATTTTCATGAGCTGAGGATCCGGCCCATTAGGAGTGACGTGGCTATAAAACCTTGACAGCACTTTGGAAGCAATACCCCTTCAGTGCTGCTGCAATCTAGTTTTTATGATATTTATGAGAAACCCACTTCTGTGTGGCTCAAAAGCTCTAACTAACTCCCATCAACTTTATTCCCACTCCATAACTATTAATACTAATAATAACTAATGTTCTAAGTTATTGCTATCCTCTGCATCTCCCAGTGTATGTTTGTCTAATTTTTTGCCTGTTTCTTAGATTGTAACTGTATTTGTCTTGTTCTGTATATGTACCCAAACATACAGAGAATGTTATTAGCAGGGATTGTCTTGTACAGTGCAATAGCCATGCTTAACAAATACTGTTGTGTATGTGTGTGTAATACATGGAATACATTATTAGTGGGAGCCCTTTATTTGTCTTGTGTGACAGGTGTAATCCAGGTGCTTAATAAATAATATACACACATGGATAAAATTATATACTAAATGTCTTGAAACACCTTCCTTTTTCACTTGGTAACTAATGAAATTATTCTTAGGCAAGAACATATTGTGTTAGCAGTTCCAGTGTCTAGTTGAACTCCATTGCCTTATTGGCTGTGCCAATGATTTGGCATAAACAGTTGAGGTCGTTTTTTCTGACAGGCAAGACATTGGAAAGTGTGTTGCAACAATTTCCTTCCAATTACCCTCTTGCTGTGGAGGGTGGGGATTCAAACTTGGTGAGATGTGGCAGTAAGTGTGCATGTGCTTTTCTGTTATATGCTGGCTAGATCTTTGGTAAGCATAGGAAGAATAGAAACATCCATTTTTCCAGCTGCACAAATAATGGCAACACTGATCTGTGACCAAATGGTTTCTAGCAATTTTCTTTTTATATTCCATGGTAATATTGGAAAAATCTACCCTAATTCAAATGAATCTTTTATTTGGTATATGTCTCCATTTGACAAATAAAGTGTGTGGATGGTCCAGAATGTGAGACAGTGTCACTAAACATACTGCATATACACCCCACTACAGTTTCAAAATACATAATGGCATTCTGGGTTGGAAGCTATATAACCCATCTACAGCTGTTCACTTACCATGTGTAGCTAGTGGTTTGGATGTAATATATATATTTTTTAATCCATGAAGGGCCAGATTTTCAGACTGGCTCTTAGGAAGAAGGAGGGAAATAGTGGGAAGTCAAGAAAAGATGAGGGACTTTTTAGTATGGAGTGTGTGGCGATAATATCCAAACATGTCACCACGTTAATTCCATAATGCATACTTCTTCTAGTAGCCATGACATTAGGAAATTTATTTATCATTTATTCATATAGCTTCCTGTGTTGCTTGTAGTGTCTGAATGCCTAAGGGAAACCAGTAGAAGCTTCAGATTGTATTGTGCCTCAGTTCCAGTGAATAAAAGCTAAGTAGCATGCATCATCCAATCTGAACATTCCCCCTATTGTTTCTAATGGGTCATTGCAGATCCAGTCTGGACTGAATCTCAGGCTTTAGACATCTTGCAAGATTGCATGAAGAAAGCATGGAGCACATCCAGAACCCAGTGATGTTTGCTTTGGGGCCCCTGACCATGGCCTGTTTAATTATTGCTGCTCTGGCTAAAAACAGCGATAGGCATAGTTTAATCTTTGGAGAGCTGTTTGGAGAATGGAGGCTAGGGAGACTTGCTTTATATAGCAATATCCCTCTTCTTTGAAATCTGTACAATTATAAAAAACTGGTCATTGTCTGCCCTTGTGTGCATCTGTATTCAGACACAGGTACATGGTATGCTAACTAAACCAGCATAACTTCTCTTAATTTTTTGTATATATATTTTTAGTCATTGCATTTTAGACCATAATCCTCACCTAACTTGTTAAACTTTCATTAGGTACTGGGTGCCAACTTCAGGGGTGATGTGTAATTTGGACTCTGTGTGCCTTATTCAAGTTGGGGGGTGTATGAGCATGTTGATGAATAGATATGAATCTAGAAGGTATTTAAATTTGAATAAAATGCACACTAAGGGGGTAAATTACATTAACTTTGACTCTCTCTAGACTTTAACTTACAGCTAATTAAAATCACCTATAAATTCTTGAAAGCCTATTCCATAGTTGTTCTATACTAATACTTAGGACTAGAAAAGGGTCCGGGTGGCCTGCACAGAGTGTAAAAGGAATTCTTACTCCCCCTTTCTTCGTCGGGATCAATGGCCAAGTCTTAGGCCCCTTAGGAATTTTTCTCTTAATTGGGTTGCCCATTCCTACTCTTGTTTAAATTCACACCCAGGGATAAATACAGAGTTAGTTTTTTCCTTCCTGGATATGGATATATAGCTCACAAATATTCAGGAAGATCAGAGAGGAGATGCTTTTCCAAAGGGCGGCAGGCAATGTAGAAAGGGGAAGGAACTAGCTCCAGTGAGAATGTAACATATCTCCTCATCTCTAAAAGTTTTTGAGAACTTAGAAAATTGTAAGTGCAAGTCAAAAGTACTGTATATTCCCAGGCAGCTTTAATTTGCATGACCAGCACTTACTTAGCACGGTACTATAGATGTTGGACACCTTGCAGCATTAAATGGGTCACATTTAACTGTTCTTGAACAATTGATCCTCTGTATTAGACATAAACAGGCTTTTTATCAGATATCAGGTGTCATGACTTCACTTTTCACTACATTTTCTTTGATAAACATCTATTCATTGTGGAGACAAGGTGTGTGGGTAATATCATTTATCGGAACAACTTCAGTTAGTGAAAGAGACAAGCTTTAGAGCAAACCACATATATTCATTGTGGCCATTGCAAGGAAAGTTCCGCTTGCTAACTGTGTCTGAGTTTCCCCATGCATTCCCTATTGCATGTAAGTATAGGTGCTTATTCTGCACTTCTCTCATGTTTCTTTTTTTCACAAATGATTGTTCTTTAAATGCCAAATTGCCCTCAAATGTGTACATTTTGGAAGCCAGTGAGAGTTGGGTGCTTACATCTGAGCAAAAATTGTGGCCCTCAGATGCCAGCACTGTAGTACAATATAATGTCTGTTGCACTTTTCTAAAAGGTTTTTGAGTAGATTGACATTGATTATCTTCATTTGGTCACATAAATCCTTTGCCCCACTGCCCATGGAGCAACAACGGGGGATGTGAGGGACAGTTGTTTTTCAGAAACCAGAAAAGGCAAAATGATGAGCAGCTTTCAGTGCAGATAGAGGTGGCAGGGGACTTTTATCACCCATTTCACAAAAATCCAGGTATTTCCTGTGTGATATCCACTGGAGTTTTTCTTTGTGATACATTACATATTAAGAATTGTTTTGTTCCCTTTTGTTTCTGGAAAAGAGATCGCTTTCCCAGTGTTCAAAATCTTTATTTAAATACCATCAAGCAAACCTACTTCAGAAGCTAGTGCCTGAGTATGGAAGTATACTTGCATTTTGGATATTTTTTAGGAGAATTTCATGACGCCGTTGCATCCATTGCCAAATAGAAGAGCTGCAGTTTAAAAAACAAAAAAGCTGGCTTGAACAAAGAAAGCTTTAAAAAGCCATCAGCGTATATTAGCATACTTTATTTAATCATCCTGTCATTAAAACTATGCTTTGCAGCAGAATTTGAAACTGTCACATACTTCGAAGAAAGTCATAAAGAGCCAGACTTCCAAAATTAAATTAAAACGGCAGGTGCAATTTTGTGTGCATTTGGATTGCACAGGTTTATACACCTAAGATTTTGCATGTGCAAAAAATAGTTAATTTATGCTTGCAAATGCAGTAGGCATGCACAAATCCAAGTTTTTGTGGGTGCAAAAGCTTGGATGTGAAAAACTGAGGATCAACTTCTCTGCTGATGTAAATGAGCACACTCTGCTGACATCAACAGAGCCAATTTGCACCAGCTAAAGATTTGACTGGTTGGGTGCAAAAACTTAAGCACAGTAAAGGCTTGATCACGGTAAGGGCTGAGCACTCCTAAGAAGTGTTGGATACTCAACTCCCAGTGATGTCAGTGCAAGTTTAAGGCTTCAGCACGTTACAGGACTGAACTCTAAATTACCCCTTCAATATCAGAGGCTGCGTTTGATGCACCTTCGAAAAGTAGGCCCAGAATGTTCATTCTTTTTTAAAACAAAAAGCACTAAGATGCACAATGCACATTCTTTATAAGGGAGTTTCATGGGACAGAAATGTATTTTTCCTGACAGATTGCCTTTAAGGACCCTTTTGAACACATTATCTCCACAATGTTCCTTAAATTTGACTGTTTAAAATAGAATAAGTTGGAAAACTCCCTTCAATGTGTTTTCAATTGTAGACAATGGCACTTTCATCCAACAATTTTGAGGAGATAACTTTTAATTGCAATAATAAGAACCACATGGGCTATGATTGATGCAAACCTGATGTGTTCTCTTACTTTATTAATCTTTTTAATTAGAGTCAAAAGAATGCTTTATCTGTCGAGAAGGAGACGAGATGGGTTGTGACGCTCTGCTGCACTTCTGTGACTGCAAAAACCTGATTGCTCACCAGAAGTGTGTGCTAACCTGGATACAAAAGGTGAGGGAACTAATGCAGAATATTCTCTTCCATCTTGTACTGTGCAGCGCGAAAGACAATCTACCATATGTTGGTGTACTGTTATGACGAGCGTCCATTGGTTTTATTTGTATTCTATAAACCTTTTACAAACATATGGTTACAACCTCAATTGAGGGTGAGAAAAGGAGGTGTCATTTTAAAACCTCCAGATGTCAGAGCACTTACTGACCAAGGACCCAATCCCACAAGATACTGAGAAAATCCTATAAGGTGCTGGGTACCTCAATTCCCATTAATTTCAGTAGGAGTTGAGGGTGTTCAATTCTTCACAGCATCTTATAAGATCAGATCCTAAGTGGCAACAGTTTGAAGCCATTATGATTTTGTATGTTGTGAACTACACAATAAGAGCGAGATGCTGACTTGGAGGGGTTTCCACAACTGTTTAATTTGAAGTAGATCTGGTGAATGTTTTGTGTCAGAACTGGTTCATGTGTTCACAAGCCCGTAACATATTAAGGGTTTGGGTTCAGTTTTCCCCATGGTTGAAACAATTGCGAACTAATAGGTAAGGTTTAGGTTTCATATATTTACTTAGGGCTTCCTGGCTTGCCAGAATTGTGAGCAGGACTAGTAGCCACATTGGAAAACATCATGTGACTTTTCCCATTTATTATAATTGTTCTTTATCATTATCTTATTTTATTAGTATAATTGTTTTCTATCGTGACAATAGCGTATAACTAGGCACCAAACCAAAAAGCAAAGGCAAGACCTCTGTCTCAAAAAGCTTACATTCTAAAAGTGTTACATATCAGGGCTTTGCGCCGAGAGGCATAAAGTGACAAAGTGTGGGTTAAATAGAGGGGAAAAAAGTACAGGAAACGTATAAACTTAAGATCTTGAAAGGAGACCCAAAGCTATTGTGTTATACCTGGTTTTTGTGGTCAAAGCCACACATTTTGCATATTTTGATACAAAGCCCATAAATTAGCCTAAGTCAGCACAATAAATTAGTGAACCTTGGCAAAATGTTTTGCAAACCTGGACTCTGTTTCTCATTTGTAATGAAACAAAAGAGCAAGCAGTTTTCAGACTTTTGGAGTTGTGTGAACGTTTTGCACAGCTCTAGCAACAACATATAAATTACATGGATTTCAGCCAGTGTTTTGGCTTGGTATTTTGTGCTAGAATGTTAGTACGTTGACTTTGGGTCTGACCCAAGCCCTTTGAAGTCAATGAGAGTCTTTAGACTTCATTGGGCTTTGGATCAGGTCTCCTGTTGTAAGGTGCTTTCTGGTGCCAAAGTGGGGAAGAGGGATGTTCTGTTGCCTGTATTAGTTGAAGGAAGGTAATGCAGAGAAAAATGAACTGTTAAAGAAATACTTGCCAGATATTTGTGTTCTGTTCCCCTCAAATAAAATAAATAAAAATAAAATAAAATGGACTGGGTTTGGTGTGGGGGGTGGGCACGGAATAGCCTGTTATTTCTTTTAACATCAAGAGCCTGATACTTAAAAGGCTGCCAATATAATTGGCTCCATCTTTGCAACTACAATTAATTGCAGGCTGAAAATTACAAGTGCAATTAGTTGTTGGTGCAAATGCTAATACATCTGCCTCCCTGATTATGGGCTGGTCTTGAGAGGTGCTGAGCATCACTTCAATGGCAGCTGCTGATGCTCAGCACTTTTTGGGATTAGGCTCTATGTCTGCAAGTTAGGTAATAAGATTGCTTAAATGCTAATATGTGCAGCTGTAAAACTGGAAGATAAGTTGAGACCATTGTGTAAATTTGGTCTTTTTATTAAGTTTACTGACTAAATTGCTATTTTTAGTCAAGCCAGTTCAGGCACCCCTTGCAAAAATAACTCAGAACCACCCAGTACCAGAGGGTAGCCGTGTTAGTCTGTATCCACAAAAACAACGAGGAGTGCGGTGGCACCTTAAAGACTAACAGATTTATTTGGGCATAAGCTTTCATGGGTAAAAAACCATCTGAAGAAAAAATCTGCATCTGAAGAAGTGGTTTTTTTTTACCGACGGAAGCTTATGCCTAAATAAATCTGTTAGTCTTTAAGGTGCCACCGGACTCCTCGTGTTTTTCAGAACACATAACTCCCTAGAACCACGCTTTAATGTAACCACCTAGAGTGGTGCTAGGGAGTTAAAATATCCAGAAAGCCTGCATTTGTTTCAATCTGTCATACTCAGCATGGGGATGTATGGTGAAAGCATTGAGGGGGTTATTGCATCCTGGGATTCCTAGAAGGGTGCCCTGGCAAACATTACTACACACATGTTTGTCATATCTAAATTATTAAGCAATTGAATTTAGCAGTAATGACTATGAATTAACCATCTGTCAAAGATAAGAAATGTCTACTTTAACCCACAGGCTGCCATAGATGCCTTTATGTGGTGCCCACAACATTCCTTTGGTTGCCAAAATGGAAAGTGGCAGCAGCACAAAAGTTAACTGAGGGGGATACATTCCCTTCCACATTCTGAGAGATTGTTTCAGCCAAGCTTTAGCAATAGACTAGGAGTCGTTTCTGCAGATTGTTTTGATTGTGAGAAAGAATGACGTCTTTAGATTGCAAATAATTTTGAATATTTCTCCCTTTTTAAGAATCGGGGGAGTTGATTTTTAATGTTACTTGAGATGTGATATATGTTGTATAGAAGGTTAAGAATTTCTGAGGCCTACTGGGCCCTCAGTATAAATTTTCCTTTCCTTCATTTCCTTCCTTGTCTAAATGAGGCAACTAAGCCTTTTAAAAGTAGGGTATCACCACCTCCAAACAACATTGGAGCGGTCTGATACCACTTGAGTATCAGATATTTACTTGCCCATCTTGTTACTTCACCAAGTCAAGAAGTTGAATTGCATACTCAATACCAGAGCAAAATTTCCATAGAAATGAATGGAATAATTCATCCTAAAATAGACAGCAACTACTAGTCGATGACATCAAGTCATTCATTCATTATATATAATTATTTTTACTCTCTGCTTTTTACTCTAGGGGAACTTGCCTCCTTACACCTATTCTTTAACCTATGTTCTTTCACGCAGAACCTTCCTTAAGGTTTTTCTACATACATTATTAAAAAAAAAACCACCAGTAATTGTGTCACAGATAAACTATGCACTCTGAGCTGAATGGCTTGTGTATACACAATTGCTAGTTCTGGTAAAAAGAAAATGGGAAAACCTTTTTATTGATATTTTCAACAAAGTTTCCCATGTTTTGTCAGAAAAGTTTTATTGTGACTTGCACAATTATTTTTTAATCTATTTAGACAGTAAATGCCTGTAGAATGGTAGAAATGCACTTGGTTCTGAGGTAGTTAGGCATCTTTGTTCCTACAATCAAGATTTGTTTACATTTTCCCATCCTCTAGTAAAATAATCAGGAGTGCTTTAAGACTTCTTTGTCTTTACAGCTTATATGAACTTCCTTATAAAATTTCAGAATATTTAACACATTTCTCTTGGCAGGAAAAACAAAAGCAAGAGCTTTAAGTGGCTGCTGTATCTAAAATTGTTTGTGTTTCTGTGTTCCCTGAAAGTACAGAAAGTTGTTTACTTATTGCTAATACCTAAAATAATTACATTTTTCACATGTGTCTCTTGCAATACCTACATATAGGCACAAGACCTGATCATCAGCTGCACTGAGGAGAAAATGTGGGAAGGTTTCTCTCTTCTCTCCCAATTGTGAGGCTGCCAGGGTCTGAAACAGAATTCAGAAACTTAGAGCAGTTACTTGGCTGCTCCAAGTTATGCCAGCTAGAGTGCTCACATAAATTGCCACTCTGTATGTCTTTATTGGAGGAATCCTCAACTGCCTGTTTGAGATAACTAAGGCCCTTTTGCACAGCTGGAGCAGGGTTGAGGATCTAGCCCAGGGTCAGAAAACAGGATGAAGCAGCTAAGACTTCTCATAAAATTCTCTTCTCCTATGTCAAATCTCTGTTTTGCGGCTACTCAAGAGGAATTATGTGTCTGCATTTATTTATCTAGATAATTGTCCAGAAGATCCTTCTTCAAGTTCAGATCAGATTTTCTTTTTTCTTCATCTCACATTTACAGGGTTGCTTTTCTGCTGCTCCATGACAAAGCTGCGATAGAACATGTGGACAGTGTAAAAAGAAACATAACTTTTCCTCCCTAGTTTGTAGTGAGTATAGGGGGATCATGTTGCTAGTGTTTTAAAGATGTCCCATATTTGGTACATAAAGTCAGTATAGGGTGGATGTTGTTGTGTATTTCTGCAGTATTCACGTAATGGATCCTACATTGTGATACCAATATAGGATTTTGTACTCTGTATGATTTTTGTATCAAAAATATTGTATGATGCAGTTCCTTTATAAATAACCTTTCCTTATATTTTCTCCCTACAATCATCCTTCTATTTCCTTGAAATGTAGGTGGTCACCATAAGTTAACAACATTCTTTCTACTCTCCCTACATCTGCTATGTGTTATCTGGTACTCACCTCTGACCCTGATATTCAACACAAGAATAAGAAGAACTGCATCCTATTCAGCTGGCTGCTTGCACTTTAACTCCAAATGATCAGTGGCTGTTGAATTAGCATGTGCCAGGAGCAGAAATTGCTGAGGCAGCATCAGGGCAATTCAAACAGAGCTCTTCCATCTTCTTTTACATTTGGGATAATTAAGCAGGCCTCCAGGAATAAGCATGTCAGCAGAGTATATTTTTAGGGGGGGAAATTTTATATAGACCAGGGTTAGGCTTTCCTGAAATAAAACAAGTCTAATATTGATTTATAACAGGAAGAAATTTGACAACAAAATATTTGTTTTTCTTACTTACTGAGTCAGTACATTGTACATCTACATAGAGAATCTGTATCATTCCCTGCAGAGACATTACTCTCTAAAATATTGGAGGCCCAGGCTCTGGATTAGTAGCATTTTACTCCAGGACTAATCTTATACTTTGATGGGGCTATTCATAGCGTAAGGTGCTATTCACTGTAAGAGTATCAGAATCTGAACCTAAATGTGAAGGTTCCTTTCGACCTTATTCCATCAAAACCCTTCTGATATTCTCCCGACCCACAAGGAGGAATTAGAATGGCTTATTTGGACCTTGTTGTGGAGGAAACAGGACTGCTGCCTTGCCTGCCAAGAGTGGAATGATTAAAACTTTGGGAACTGCCCAAAATAGAAACAGAGTCAGTTTGTTTCTCAGACTTTTTGTCCTTTCTTCTTCCTTTGATTGGTGAGGTGTGAGGGAGTAGCCTCTTACAGTCCAATAATCCTCAAACCCACAATCCCACAATTTAAATTATGGCTCTAGTCATACAGTGCTATTTACTGAACAATGCGGTTGACCTATGTGATAATCTCCAACGTCCTGTAGTGTTCTACAAGACCCTCAAACTCTGTTCTGCTATATTTGATTCCCTCTGCAGCTGCTTTTGAAGTATTAAAATGTAGATTTGAGAACTGGCAGTAAGGCAAGGAGTGTGTCTTACTAACTGTTTATGGCTGCCAAAACAAGTCTATCCCGTGGTGGTTGACAGTAAAGCATATGGTATTTATGCAGGTCCCAAGTGCAATAGCTCATTGTACCAATGAGTCTGCCACAATTTTAAAGTGATGGACTCACATCAGGAAAAGCTGTTCTTCTGATGGTGATAGATCAGTGCATCTAGGTACAAGGACATCATCTGGGCTACAAATGTGGGACTACTCAGTGACTCAGATTTTTTTTCTTAAACGGCTTTGCTTCACTTGCCAAGTATATATCTTTATGCATATCTGTATTTATATTTCACACCATTGACCAGGGGAAAATAGGTGCTGAAGATGCTAATTATATAATTACAAGAGTATAGTAAAACCAAATGAAGGATGATGAGGAAAAACTCAGTAGAACTCATGTTAGGAAATAAAAATCCATGTATTACTTTTAGACTGCAAGCTCCCCATTCTATGTACAGTGCCAGCTAGTCAAAGGTGAATTCAGATGACACTGTGAAGGGGTTCTGTTTTCCTGTTCCCAATGTGCGCATGTACATCTAATATATGTATGTTTAAAGTAGGCAGTTTTTTATTTTACCAGCAGATTAAGATACAATTCTTAAACAGGTGAGCTTCTCACCCAAAATCCATTTTTGTTGAGAAAGGACATACTGAAACAACAAGGTTAGCAAAGAATTTTAGAGGTGTTATAAAGGACTGAGTTTGCACCGTGTTAAAAGTCATGAAAAAATCTATCTTTTGGCTCCCTACTGACTCTGCCTATTTTAATAAGTGGTTTGGTTAATTTGAAAGGTAGTTCCCTGAGTAGGAGACTTGGGTTTCGGACATCGCATCAAAATTGTATGTGCTTAGGGAACACTCCTGAAGTGTGTGTGGGCTTGGGGGTTGGCTCTTTTTTCTTCTTCGGAGATTGGAAATTATTTGTGGTGGAATTCTTCTAGTTATGAGTTATTTTTTTACAATTGTTAAATAAATACTATGGACTGATTCAGCCCCAAGTAGCCTGCATTCACTTTTTCTTTCTTATCTGAAAGAGTGTTGCAAGTACTCAAATACAATAATTGTGCCATTTGTTTGTCATGCCCTTTTTTGACTATGGGTTACTCAGTGGATGTCTAAAATTATCCTTAACTACATTTTATAAAGCCCAGAACTGTAATCCTAAAATAATTATCTTGATAAGTGCTTCTCAGTTGCCACCAGGCAATAACTGCATCCCTGTCCTCTTAAAAGGAGTTTAAAATGAAGACACAAATTTCATATTCTTATTTAATTTTGTTGAGAGTAAACTAAGAAAATAATATTTTAAATAATTGCATTCGGGCCCCTGTGAGATATCAGCATAATTTGACGTAAGATACCTTTATTTAATATGCATTTATTGATTAATAAAGAAACACATTCTGTTTGTAAACCAAATGATTGGTCCAGTGGCACAAAACAATAATTCAATGAAGCCTCTAATTCATTAAATTGGAATATAGGGATTGAATTACTAATTTATATTGGTTTTAATATCATGTTATAAATTATACTATTCTAAAATGTAGGAGGAAAATATTCCCCATGACGGTGGTTACCTACAGTTCCAACTAGTAAGGTTATATATGACTCCAGGGAGATGAAGTAGGGGGAGGCACTGGAGATTTTGCAGACTGACATGGTTCCCCAGGAATTTAGTGTAGTGTATGTTGCAATAGCCACAACTTTAAAAATCAACCAATTTTTTTAAAACACTGAAAGTTTTGTACAGAAGTCATGGTTAGAAACAGGTAGATATTGGAATACTGGCCTGTGAGATAACTGAACAAGAAGGTCAAGTATTAGAAAAAATTAACAGGGAGAGAGAGAGAGAGAGAGAGACTTCATAACTCTTAAGTGGTTTCAGTTCATTTCTGTCCATCTTAGTGTTTTATTCAGGAAAAACATGCCTTAAACCCCTCATCTTCAGTATTTCACAGCCTGTTGTTCACATCTCCCCTTTTGTGGTCTTTTTAACTAAAGAGTCCCCTGCTTAAATGCCTCAGAAGCTGCTTGGAGAAACCAACAGAAAGTCCACTTGAACGCACACTAGATTATCTCCAAAGGTTCCATATTGCTCTTGGGTCTCCGCTCCCTAGTGCGAGACAGGCTGGAACTCCCTAGATCTCAGACTTCAGCCCTGTGAGACACAGGCAAACCCACCTCCTTCTGAGAACTGCCAGGGTCTCCAGTGTGCCGCTCTTTCAAAAACCTTCTGTTTGTTTGTTACTGATGTACAAAGAGAAGCTTCCTGAGTAACAGGAATATTTAATGGAATCCTTTCTCAGATCCACCGGCAGTTAGTCATTTCAGTGATTTAAGGGGGAATGTGAGGTGGTCTTCCCCTTTGTTAGATCACTCATCACTCCTATGCCTTCTTTTGGGGCTCCACTTCAGAAATCAGTCATGAATGTTCTATTATTGAACAGCGATTACATGCAATAAGGCAAAATTTGCAAGGTTTTAAGGGTGGCCACTAATATTCAAAGAGATGAACATCTCCAATATAAATACTATAAATGGACTGAAGTTAACAAGAATCTATGAAATGGCATGAGAATGTTGATGAAACAAGAAAATCACCAGTAAAATGGCACCATAGGAAGGATACCACTATGATGAGACTATTTTAAACCGCAGGAAGGCTCTCTTTCTCTCTAGCATACACATTCATTTCTTTCTCTTGATTTCTGGTTGTATTTTGGGTCATCTCTCATCTGATTCACAAAAGGAAAGAGCAAGATTGTATGTAAACTATCCAGGTTTAAATTTGACATTGTTTCAGTCCTTCATGGGGAGAGGAAATTCAAACTTCCTTTCGTAGTTAGATGAATGGGCTCAGCCTTGCCAGGATCGTAGCACTGCCTGAGGGTTGCTGAGCTCTCACATCTCCCGGTGAAGTCAGTGGGAACTGAGGGTGTTCATCACCCCTGAGGAGCTGTTCATCACTTGCAAGGACTGGAAGCTAAGACTGATTATTTTTTAAAATGGGAAGTAGATTTACATGGAGCATGAACCCCTAGTTGTGACACTGGTATGGCAACTATTGTGCTAACAGAGAGACATACACCCCACAGATCCAGGGTTCACTGACCACAGGAACATTTTTTGAGTATAATATTCACAGAGGACATGACTCCCCGTCTAGCTCATGGCCAGAAGGAAATGTCTCTGTTGGTCCAGAACTACAGTGATGCACTCAGGTAGGTCACGGAATGGTCAGAATCTAAAAGAGACATACACAACAGACTTTTGCTACAGCACCACTTTTTGCTCACCATGTAGAACTTTTAATAGTAATACTCCTGACCAGATGACGTACAATGCATTGCCTTTTTGTGCCCAGTTTTTCAGTTTTAGTGAGAGAGTGGCCTTGAACAGTATTTTCTAACATGTTAACCTGCTCCATTGCTGATCAAACTGTAAGCAGGTTTTACACTTGAGTGGGCTGACATGTCTGGGCTTTGTTCTATGTGTACATCTTGGGTTCATGATGGGGGTTTCTAAAGCCATTGTTTGTGAAGGATAATCATTTTTCCCTCCAAAGTCCTATCGAGTACTACAAAAATACATGATGCTTTTTTGAGGGCTTTATCTCACCAAAGCTGCATAATATATATTTTCTCCTGAGAATGATGGTTAAACACCATAAACCTTGATTATTTCTAAAGGCTCAGAGAGGCTCCACGATCTTGAGCCCCAGTTTAAGCTGATTGTCCATAGTGAGTTTCAGGCTTATCTTTTTGTGCCTTATTGACTTGAGGAGTATTTAAGAGTGTTTGCATAAAATAAAAACTATAAATGCAAGAAAGGTGCAAATTATCAAATGTGAACCAGATTCTGGAGTAACAAAGCATTCACTTTTCATAATTGATTTGGCCCTGTTGTTCTTTAATTCTGCCAGGGAGATGATGCTAATATGTTTTATATTTATTTTCCTGGTCAATATAATTTTAATCAGTTTTCTTACTAAATGACTGTTTTTCTCTTAGAGTTCTGATAATCAAGATAGAGCAAGATGCAAAGTATGTACAGCTGAGGTAAGTCACTCAACTGTTCTTTCCATGTTTTCAAAAAGTACTGGATTAATGGAGGAAATTAACAATTTATAACCCTCATGTGAAAGGGATTGTAGTCTAAGTATTTGCCTATGTGTGTACTGAACTGCATGTCTAAATATACGGTATATGTGTACTATACTCAATGGTTCTTGAATATTTCCAGTCCATGCATCCATATTAAAAATGTAATTAACGTTGTGACCACTCTCCCTCCATCCTCTCTCTGCCAAAGGACAAGCCTGCAGGTCTTTAACTGTTATCCCAACACACACGATATACTGTGATCTGATCTCTTTCCTTTGCTACAGTTCTTGATGAGACCCCCTACCTTTTGTGGATGTGCACGCTGCTGCTATCCACTCCAGTCTGCCTCCTTCTATCATAGACAAACAGCAGTGGTAGAATTCCACAAAGTAATACAGGTGCATTTGTATCACCGGAATAAACTCTCATTGAATGTTCATGTCCGGCCCAATTCTCTGAGGTGCTTCCATTGAAATCAGTTGGATCAAGCATATCTTTGGGATGTGACACTGTTACTAGCCTCTTGCAATTATACTAATTAACCCTTTCATGTGTGTCACATAAACCATAGCTACCATTATCTTTTGCCCTCCCGCACATCATTCCTACCCCCAGCCAATTCCTCACTCTCCCAGGTGTTGCTCTAAAGTGGCTTTGCTTCTTTTCAGTTCAGCCACATGCAGCCCTGTGTATTTGGCGCCCAGATGTCTGAGAGTCCTCTATCCCCGATTCCACTCAGGATCAAACAAGGCACTATTATGTATGGCATAAGGAATATTGCACTGCATCCAGGATAGGGATGCATCAGAATGTATGTATCCAAGTTGAAAACGATGAAGCCACTTTGAATGCGTAAATGGTATAGTGAGTTGTGGCAAGAGTAGAGGTAAATTGCCCATCATTTTAATCCTTCTAGAGTTGTTTCCATTTTAGCAATAGCATGATAAATCCATTATCTTTTTAAGCTTCACAGTAGCTGGACACTTGGGAATAAATGTGCTCCAGCTAGCACAAGAAGGTGGAAACTGTATCTTCCTGCACCAGTGATGGTTATTGTGCCAAGGGGGCATTTATTCCAGGGGAAGAGCAGAAGGTATTTCACCTCCACCTTCCCCAGTGATTTACACCAGGGTGTGCGGCAGGAGTTCCTCAGGCGCTGAATCCTCCAGGTACCTTGATCTCTCCCTCACAACATACGGGTTCAGTTTTGGGGCATGTTATGATCCCAACTCCAGTGGACTAGCGTTGCAGTCCTTCAGCCTACCTGCCTGCCATCTACTCTGCTTCTGCAGTATCAGATATTATGATGAGGACCACATAAGTACCTAGATCAGGGTTCGGCAACCTTTCAGAAGTGGTGTGCCGAGTCTTCATTTATTCACTCTAATTTAAGGTTTTGCATGCCAGTAATACATTTTAATGTTTTTAGGTCTCTTTCTATAAGTCTATAATATATAACTAAACTATTGTTGTATGTAAAGTAAACAAGGTTTTTAAAATGTTTAAGAAGCTTCATTTAAAATTAAATTAAAATGCAGAGGCCCCTGGACCAGTGGCCAGGACCTGGGCAGTGTGAGTGCCACTGAAAATCAACTCATGTGCTGCCTTTGGCACGTATGCCATAGGTTGCCTATCCCTGACCTAGATAGAATGGAGTTTTTGCCCCACTGGAGCCCTTTGTTATGGACCAGTCAGCTATAATTGATGAATTTGGACCTGGATCTCCATTAATACAGACTCAGTCATTTCTCAAATCCCCCTCTCATTCCCTCATCATTCTGCATGGCAGGTTATAGACTTCAATCAGGGCTCCATAAACCAACAGTTTTTAGATGAGCCCTTGTATAATGGAACTTGGAATCAGAAACCAGGTGCTGCATCTACAAACCTCAAAGGAAAGGAGCTTATTGCTATTGTTCTCCATCCCTCCCTCTTTTTTGTAAACAGTAGTCCTGAGTGAATCCAGCCAAAGGGAAGGAAGAAAGAAGTCTTACATGAAGGGTCAGGGTGACTGCACTTAGGAACTGGTTCAGAGCAATAAAAAATGTTGATAGCTCAAAACAAAAAATAGGAGCAAGGAAAGTACAATGCAAAAGTGAGGTAAGCCTGTGACTCCCCAGTAAAGTTCCAGGAGCCCTTTAGGGGGCAGGTTCCAAGCAACCCACAGTTAAAAAGCAGGTGGCTGAGATGTACACATGAAGGAGTTCTGATTATGCTAAATATAGGGGGAAAACAAAGCTCAAGTGGTTTCTGAAGTCATAGCACCCTTGAAATGGATGTACAGACTTGAAGTTTTCTTGTGTTGTATTCTATAAGCTTGAATAATATCACATTTTAACAGATTTTTTCAAAAAATCAGATACAGAATACCCCTCTGCAGTGTACTTCTATTTTTATCAAATCAGCTTTTTGTAGATGATTTTTGCTATTGCAATTTTAGCTCCAGATACTTATGAACAGCTCAGTGTTTTGACGTCTGATGTCTCAGCCACTGAGCATCCAATTCATTCACATTATGCCAACCTACTGGATAAAATGCTGTAAAATATCCAATAGCATTTTCTCTCACATTTTAAAAATATAAGTAATGGCCTCAGTATCACAGCTATGAAATGCAGCTTTCTGCTGCATAGTATTTATTAAATCCCCCTGTTACTTCACACTAACTGGCAGTAGGTGTTTTGCTATTCAGAAGCCATCAAAGGCTCCTTTCTTGGTTACATCGAGTGAAACAATCATTGTGACAGTTACAGGTAATGGTATTTGGAGGGCATGGCTCCAAGGGTTCATTCTTTTTTAGAATGTTTACCTCACCTGACATATCTATCTTGGATGCCATTGTGTTTATTCATCTGTATATTATTTAAATAAAATTGGGCTAAGAAATAAGATCATAAGAATGGCTATACTGGATCAGACCAATGGTCTATCTAGCCCAATATCCTGTTTTCTGACAGTGGCCAGTGCTTTAGAGGGAATGAACAGAACAGGGCAATTACTGAGTGATCCATTCCCTGTCATCCAGTCCCAGCTTCTGGCAGTCAGAGTTTTAGGGACAAGCAGAGCATGGGTTGCATCGCTGACCATCTTGGCTAATAGTCATTGATGGACCTATACTCCATGAGCTTATCCATTTTTTTTTTTAACCCAATTATACTTTGGCCTTCACAGCATCCCCTGGCAATGAGTTCCATAGGTTGACTATGTGTTGTGTGAAGAACTTCCTTATGTTTGTTTTAAATCTTCTGCCTATTAATGTCATTGGCTGACCTCTGGTTCTTGTGTTATGTGAAGAGATCAATAACACTTCCTTATTCACTTTCTCCACACCATTCATGATTGTATAGTGCTCTATCATCCCCCTAATCTGAACAATCCTAGTCTTCTTAAGCTCTCCTTGTATGGAAGCTGTTCCATACCCCTAATCATTTTCGTTGACCTTCTCTGTGTTTTTACCAATTCTAATATATCTTTTTTTGGGATGGGGTGATGTGATGGGGCAACCATCCCACTCTGGCAGAGAAAGAGTTAATGGTGCTAGGGAGGTTGCACAGGAAGCAGCCAATAGGAGAGAGGCTGCGAGGAATAGCCAATCAGATCCCAGCAGGTCCATAAAAAAGAGAACTGCAGGGCAGACTAGGTCACTTTCTGATGGGAGCCCAGCAAGTAAGGACTGCATCCCTGGAGGGCTGAGAGAACTGTAAGCCCTTTGGACAGAGCAGTGGCTGGTTCCTGGTACTGAGCAGCTGGGGCCCTGAGATAAGGCCAAAGAAGGTGCTGTGGCCATGGGGAATTAGCCCAGAGAAACAGAGCAGCATTGACTGAAGTTACAGAGGAGCAGCAGGAGACTGCTATGTACAGGGTCCTGGGTTGGGGCCTGGAGTATTAGGCAGGCTTGGGTCCCACCCACTTGTCACTGTGGAAATGGCTAGACTGTTGGACAGAGATATCTTCCTCCCTCCACGGAAGGGGAAAACACAGACGATGACCTAGCCAGAGGGCTGAGTCGAGAAGAGGATGCTGCGGTCCTGGGAGCTGAGAGAGGAGCCATACGCAGGAACAGAGACAGAGTGCCGGTCTGAAGACTGCAGATGTGGGCATTGGCCTCAAACTAATCCCCAACATGAGCGGGAGGAGGCACCGGTCTGTTGATGAGGGCTGCACCCCATGACTGATGACCAGAACGGCATGCGGTATTCGTTGTGGGTGTACCGTGGATTTATATAGTGGCATTATGATGTTTTCTGTCTTATTATCTATCCCTTTCCTAATGGTTCCTAACATTCTGTTAGCTTTTTTGACTGCCACTGCAATTTGAGCAGATGTTTTCAGAGAACTGCCCACTATGATACCACTCAAGAAAAAGATCTTGGAAACAGCTAATTTAGATCCCATCATTTTCTATGGATAGTTGGGACTGTTTTCCAATGTTCGTTACTTTGCATTTATTAGCATTGAATTTCATCTGCCATTTTGTTGCCCAGTCACCCAGCTTGGGAGATCTCTTTGTAACTTTTTGCAATCAGCATTGGATTTAACTAGCTTGAATAATTTTGTATTGTCTATAAACTTTGGAACCTCAGTGTTTATGCCTTTCTCCAGATCATTTATGAATATGTTGAACAGCAGTGGTCCAGTACGGAGCCTTGGGGGAGTCGGTTATTTACCTCTCTCCACTGTGAAAACTAACCGTTTATTCCTACCCTTTGTTTCCTTTTTTTTTAACCAATTATTGATGCATGAGAGGACCTTTCCTCTTACCCCCATAACTCCTTACTTTTCTTATGAGCCTTTGGTATGGGAACTTGTCAAAGGCTTTCTGAAAGTCCAAGTACACTATATTCACTGGATCACCTGTCCACATGTTTGTTGACCCCTCAAAGAATTCTAATAGATTAGTGATGCATGATTTATCTTTTAAAAAGCCACGTTGACTCTTCCCCCAACATATTGTG